GGAGAGAGGGTGTTATTTTGATGATTCGTATCCAGACAGATAAAAAAAAAATTTACGCAACCGATACCACCGATTTAAAAACTGAAAGAAAAAAAAAATGTTTTCAACCTTTAAATTGTGAACCCAGCATATTATCTGAACAGCTGGCAGTCAGTATGTCCGATCAGCATTAAAACAAAGATAATGTTGCGTTTTTGCGTTGCAGCACATTTTGAACCATCTTGCACAAATTAGCTTAAAAACACGAATTGGCGTATTTCATAGAGAAGGAAGTGTCACGCTCACTCAGAGTCCACGACTGTGCGCTCTTCAAGCCACTCGTCGACTCGCAAACATTACTGTTTCTCCCCGCGGTATCTAATGGTACACTGGTGTCAGTGGTGTAGCGGTTACACACACGACACGCTCCATGATTCATTGTCGTATGCAGGAGACCAGAGTTCGATTCCCGAGTACGGTAGAAAATTCTTTTCGAGTATCTTGGTCTTTCTGCTCGGATGCTGTAAATCTTATCCATTTCAGTTCAGCCCGAATTGATCCTGACCCGGAAGTCAAGACCTAAATTATCTAAATTGTATTGATAGGAGTGTAAAAACACATTCTTAAAAATAAAAAGAACTACCGTCGGTACAAGCAGAATAAAAAATATAATGTATGGTAGTTTTTTGTTGTTGGGTTTGTTTTGTTGTTGTTGTTCTTTGTTGTTTTTGTTTGTTTTTGTTTTTTTGGAGGATGCAGATCAAATGCACTCATTATTTGAAAATCCAATGTTTACATTTAAACTTGCTACTGTTACATTATTACTAGGACTTTTTATGACGTCTCATGTATATTTGGATTTCTTAGGTGTAATTAGAATTGGTCTTTCTCTGTGACATTTCAATTTGTTATCATGCGTATATTTGATCTGGAAAAAAAAACCCAACTAAATAAAGTAACTGATTAACCTACCTAATGACTGTCGGGAAAAGCTCGGCTGCCATCAGGTAAATGATGCCGTACGACGCCGTGATGCCAAACTTGCCTATCATCGCCAGTACAACAGTCAACGTCTCCATGGCTGGAAATGAATGTAATTGTAGGTCTGTTACGCCCCGATCGACACAATTTAGAATTCCTTACCCATAGATTCTATCCCAAAATCAAAATCCCAAAATCCCAACCCCGAATCCCAGCCTCAACCACACACCCTAACCCCAACCCCCCAATTCCCAAACCAGAATCCAAAACCCCCACCCGAACTCCATCCATTCCCAACCTCAACCCTAACCTCAACCACACCCCACACCCCCAGCCTCAACCCCAACCCCAACCCAAATCCCAACCACAATCCTCAACCATATCAATCCCAACCACAACCCCAACCACACCCCCAGCTTCAACCCCAACCCAAACCCCAACCCCCAGCACCAACATCCCGTCTACCTTCCAGGGAAAATGATCATCATCAACAACAACATGAACAACAACAACAACATCACCACCACCACCACCAACAACAACAACAAAACACCACCACCACCAACATTACATCCAACAACAACAAAAACACCACCACCACTACATCCAACAGCAACAACAACAACAACAAACAACAACAATTGAGCCTTGTCCTTACTACTGTTCCCCTCCGTGGGTATGCAGCCGGACAGGATACATGCCACGCCCCCGACGTACATAGAGATGATGAGCGGCCATCGGCGACCCACACGGTTCAGCAGCAAAATGCAAATGGCGTAAGCCGGAAGTTCTACCGCGCCGGCCACGCAGAAGTTTAAGTACGGGCTGCCTGAGGAGGGATACACGACGAGTTTTTTCATCATTTTTAAAGTTATAGTAAGAGTTAGAGTTTTACGGCACTTGCAACACAAATAATAGGTCATACAAATGCCGAAGATTTGACGTGTTTCTGCTTAGAGAGTATCACATGTACAGAGAGATGAAGGAGGGAAGATAAGAAGATAGATAGTTGATGGGGAAGAAAGAAACACTAGAACACCTGCCAACAACTCACAACGTGTTTTTGTCAAATAGGCCTACAGAAGAGACTTCTCTCACCTTCAGTACGAGTTAGGGTATGTGTATGATCGCGTTAAGCGCACGAAGAGAACTTTCATGAACACATGTATAATACATTGGTGTAAGCAAGTCAACACACGCAAACACACACACACACACACAAACACACACACACACACAAACACACACAAACACACACACACACACAAACACACACACACACA